GGGTTTAGCATTTAGGGTTTAGGGGTCTAGGGGTTTAGGGCTTCCAGGCCTTGGGGAAATCATGCACATCCCTCTTCGGGCTCCTGCCCCCGATGCCCACATAGCGGTTGTACTTGGCACAGTGCAGCGCGATCTGGCCGCCCCCCGCGTCTACCACCGTGAACCGCTCCCTGGTCCAATGGTCCGGGATGCCGTAGCCGGTCATCGTCCAACTGCGGGTCAAGCCCTTGTCGTTCATCTTTACGTAACGCCCGTACTTCGGACTGTAGAGAGCGACTTGAGTTCCTGGCTTCAAAGCCATTCCCTGTGCCTTTCCCATGTCCTTCAGCGTGAAGTCGCGCAGAGCAGTGATCGCTTTGTTCTTGCTCGCCCTAGACACAAACGGCATTCCTGCCAAGGCTATCGAGAACTGCTTCCCGATGTCAACCAACGGTATGACCCTGTCCGGGCTCCTGTAGGGTCCGAAGGCCATCTCCAAACCCATGGATAGCTGGTTGGACTTTCCGTCCAAGAGACCGCGGATTTTGAATCCGACCATACCAGGATGCTTGAAGGAGAAGAGCTCGAAGATGTCCCCGCTCTCGTGTGCCATGCGCCGTGCAGCGTCGTGACCAAAGAGCTCTGCTGTCTTGTTGACAGACATGTTCTCCCCGTAGTCCATGGACGCCAGATACCTGGGCTTTGGTGTTTAGGATCTAGGGTTGGATGCCAGATACCTGCGATCCCCAAACGTTCTGGTGCCCAGATGCCGTTCCTTTAAGGTTCGGGTAGGCTTAGTACAAGTGACTCAACAAGGGTTACTAACACAGGTTCAATAAAATGGGCCTCAAGGATCCTAAACCCTAAACCCTAAACCCTAAACCCTAAACCCTAAACCCTAAACCCCTAAACCCTCAAAGCTAAACCCTCAACCCCAAACGGCGTCAGGCCCCTACATTCATCATAGATACAGATCTTCCGAGTCTGCCTTCCAATACATGTCCTCCGTTGCGTCTTCCACCTCCGGTCACTGAAACACATTAGGGGTTTAGGGTTTAGGGTTTAGGGACGACGAGAGCAAGAGCAGGGAACAAAAACAAGCAGAAGTGGTGCATAATGCCTGTACATGCAGCTGTCAATTGGGTGTCGAGGGAGCAATATGTGTTGGGTGTAGAGGAAATCCAGAGCAAGATGACAAGCAAACCGCCTGCCTAAGTTGCTCAATTCCATCGGCCAAACCCCTAATCCACCAATCCCCACATGTTGTCTTGAGGAAAAACACAGGAGTAATGAGAACCGCAGACTAAACTGCCCCACCCTGACCTCCTCGGTCGCGCTTTCATTCAGACTCTCGTTGCTCTGTAAGAAAGAGGTCCGACTCATGGGATCGAAGGCGGCTCTGCTTTCGCCCTTGGAGATGCCAGCCGGGTGCCGCCACGTCTGGTGGCCGATGTAGGCGTTCTCAGGTACGAAATCCGTGCCGCCGCCGAAGCGCTTCGTCAAGCGCAATGTGCGGCTGAAGAGCAGGATACCGGCTGACCGCACCTGGGCAGATCGAAGAAACGGCAAACAAACCGTCCTAAAACCCCAACCCTGAAACCCTCGACCCTGGATCCTAGATACCTGCAATGCAACCCACACGACCTCGGTGCGCAAGACGCTCAGGTCCACTCCACCGGGTT